TGCTCCGCCCAAGCAGGGCACACCTCCACGGTGTGTTCCACTGTGTCCTCCGGTCCATCCTCGCAGTGGGAGCACCCGGGCGTTTCCTCCCGCCCGATTCGGTGCAGGAACCTCCCAAACACACCGTGTCCGGTGAGGACCTGCGTCAGGCGGAAGGTGAGGATGCCGTGGCGTCTCTCAAGCTGCGGTTCGCACCCTGCCATTAGGCTATGGTCGCTTCATTGCCTTTTGTCGCTATTGGTTTGATCTTAATTGATTCCACAATTGTTGCTTTTATGGGTTGCTTTAATAAACTTTATAAAATATATAAACCATATATTTTTTAAGGAAACTTGGAGTTACGTTGAATGAAAAAGCATACCTACTTACTTTGACAAAATCTGATGGGAAAATGCTTTTTATCACTATCTACTGGTAACATTGTCAGGAATGTCATAGTTGATAAGGGTAGTTTCATTTTCCATTGTTAAGAATTAGTATATAAGTATGTTGGAATTTTTAATAACGTCCCAGGTGTTGTGGAAATGCTGCAGACCACATCGAAATAATCAAAATAATCGTGAGAGGTTATTTGTATTATAAGTAGGGAATTAAGAAGATATTTTTACACGTGGTAGAGCCATGTTGTAGCACGAATGGATCGGCTCGACCGGGGAAGGACCACGCTCTCACATAATACCAGCATCAAATAGTAGCTTAATGCTGCTGTGTTTCGTGTGGTGAGTGTAGAGAACCGGTGACCCTTTTTACTGGAAACGAGGGATCTTTCAGCATTTTGACACATTGCGTAGATCGAAGGAATAGATGTAGATGATCATATTGGGATTCAAACCACGTCAACTAAGCAAAGATTGTAAAAAACCACTTACCATCAAGTGGATTGTGTGCTCGTTAGTCATCCTATCCTATAAAAAAATACAGTCCACTAAGTTTACGTCTGACGTCTAGACCGGGGCCATTCACTGGGGCCCGTAATCTTAGTCGTCAACCACTTTCTTATGAGAGAGCGGTTAAAGTTCTGAGTTGAAGGTCTTAAAGGGGTTCACGCCCATTCCCGAACCCAACGAAGTGTGCCATAGGAAAGGGGGCCAATAATTGGTTGATCACTGTTAGGGCGTGAGATGAAGAACACGGCCGTATTTTTCAATACTGTATGCAATATTTTGACAAATTCCAGACAAAGCTGAGTGAGTTCTATACAATTTATCATACCCGACGTATGTATATAGTAACGACGAAAACACTTGATTACACGTCATATGTATAAAGTTTATATCCAACCTATTCACAATGCATTACAAGCCTTGACCAAATAGCAAAAGAGGAAATTATTCTCGAATGTCGTGAGATACAATCATTAGTTCTCAGTAAGGTCATTTCCTGATTGATCAAAAGTCGCAGCTCGAAATAATTTCATCCCATACATTATGTTGGTTTTGTAGACAGCCCTTTAAACCTTTTTTGCAATTTGTCCTTACTAATATTACTCAGCGGTAAAATTTGTTAGTATGTATGTAGTGTGCTTTTTTAAATACTCGATAAGGTCCAATGGTTTATTAAAACCCTTTACGAAATTAATTTTTCACAAAATTTCCAAGTAACAAATAACATTGGACTATTGAAAATTGGTCATACAATCATATACGAAGAAAATAGACGAGATAATACTGCCATTGGTTTTTTTTTAATTATCCTCAGTTCATCTGCTGTTATTTATTTTACAGCACCCTTGTTTTCTTTTTCTTTTTTAGTCTAAAATTCAATTGATGCTCTTTTTTTTAATTGTTTTTTTATATTTTTTTTCTTCCATAAGTACATCGTCTGCTTATCACTAGTTTCGACATTTCTATTCAGTATTGTTTTAGAAGTATAAATTAAATGGATTACGAACTATTCTTTTTCTGTTTCAGCACATTTTATGAAAACATCATTGTTTGTTGTGCTGTGAGTACATCAACATACTTAAAATGCGTTCATGCTGACTGAGTACTATTAACTTAATGGTTACTTAAACTTAAATTTCAGTCAATGTTAATAAATACCAATGACGTTTTTCATATATGCATCGTTACTGACTAACTGTTGTTTACATAAGTCTTAATACTGCTACTGTTAATCAGGCCACTAGTTGTTTAAAATGAAAAAGACAAAGTTGGTATCAATTTGTTACAAAGATATTACTATTATCTACTAGTACGTACTGCTACTACAACTAATATTTTTTAATAATGCACCCTACTACGAGTACGATTAATTAGTGCTACTAGCTATTTACAAATAAGATAAAGTTAATGTTGGTACCAATATGTAACAAAACATTACTATTATCTACTAATACCTATTGCTAATACAACCATATTTTCATAAGTCTAATATATTTTTGACACATTTCCTTGTAACACTTTCTTAATTTTTCGGCAAATTCAAGGAAATGAGTGCGACTGTCATTGTCGTTGACCGCCCTACACAGAGTGCCTTCTTTCAGCACAAAGCCCATAAGGTGTTCGCAACAGAGTCTTGTGAGAGTTTGGTGTTTGGTGATCACATTCACAGTATGGGCTCTGAGCTAACTTAAATCTATGTATGTATGCTTTAAAACGTCTTAAAGGGGTGTCCCCGTGTCCCGTAAAAAGTTGGCATCTTAGGTTACTGATTGCAATTTTATTTGTTGTTGCATACGCCTGGATAACGTTCGGAAAGAATTTTTTCGTGACTTTTCCGGTGTCTGATGTCGTATATCGTTCTTGCCAGATATGCAAAGAGTTATCCATAATGTGGCGCTTTGCAAAAGACAGAGGGAAATAGTCGTATACCAGCGTCTGCTTTGATGTTTCCGCCACCAACTTAGCTAATTCATCAGCTCTTTCATTTCCCTGAATGCCGCAGTGGACTTTGATCCAGAAGAACCTCACTACTCCCTGTTGCCTTCCTATTTCCGAGATTTCGTCCAAAATCTCTGCTGCTATGGGGTGTAAGGTATTTGGATTTGTCAGGCATTCCAGCGCTGAACGCGAATCGCTCAGGATGTTTGCTTTTTTAAGTTTTTGTCTACTCAACATAATTTCCGTGGCTTTGAAGACAGCAACAAGTTCCGCTTGGTAGACGTTGCAATGGTTTCCGAGTCTTAACTTACTCGTAGTTTTGTAGATTTCTTCACCATTCTCCCAACAAGTAAAGGCAGGCCTACTTTAAAAGAATGAAATTTTGCTGCCATCAGTGTATATACAGGGCCAATTGTTAATAGACTTTATATCATTACCTGATGTCATCAGCTCGTACCGTTGCCTTAGTCTATTTGCTGGGTGTGATAGCGTATGAGGGCTGATAAGTTTGGCAAATTTCCTGCCAGGTAAACACGCAATGGGTTTTCCCCTCTTGATCATGTAGATCTCGGAATTTTCTTGGGCTCTTATATCTAAGGGGAGAATTCGGGCTAATGTTGTGCTTGATGTCAAAGATGCTGTGCGGTGTGCTTTGCTAATTATTATTGCAAAAATCCTGGTAATTCTGTCGAGTCTTGTTTTTATTTGCTTTTTGCTTGTCGTTGGACCCCATGCTCCCGCCGCATATAAGACTGTGGGTTCGACTACTGTTATATATATTGTTCTGAGAATTTCAGGATTGAGACCCCAGTTAACTCTTGCCGTTCTGGAGACATTTTTGTAAAGTCGAACAGCCTTTCCCGTTACCGCATCGACGTGCTTTATAAAATTGAGATTGACGTCGATCTTAAGTCCAAGAATTGTAATGCTATCAGAGAACGTTATTGCTTTATTGTCGAGGGATAATTTAGCAGTTTCATATTTTAATTTCTTAGTTAGTAAGATGGCTTGGGTCTTCTGAGTCGCTAGTTTCATCTTCCTCGTTTTGTCCCATTCAAGGATGTATTCAAGTGCTGCATTAAGTTCTTGTTCGAGGTTCTTTGCTGTTTTTCTCGTGGCAATAACTAAGATGTCATCGGCGTACGCCTGTATGTGGGTGTCTAGGTCTTCTACATCCCTTAGTAGTGGGTCAAGTTGCAGATTCCACAGCAAGGTCCGCAAGTTGACCCTTGTATACACCCCTTGTTGGTTTGTTTTATTATCTCGTTAACTGCGTATCTCAATTACTACTGCCATTGGTTTGGAGCTGGACACCTGTGAGATGGAACGGGGTGATTAATTTTTCTACGACGTCACCAGTTGGCATTGGTTTAGCTTTCCTTGGGAAGTCCAAGGTGAGGTCTATAGAAGTGGGGCAAACGAGAATGTGACACATCTGATGGTAAACGTAGTTGCCCGTCACAATATGTGAACTTACAAAGGGCCCTTTTCATACTATGAGCGTACTAAGTGAGATCGCGGTTTGATCGTTATAACAACTAAAATAGGCCCAAAAAGGAAGATGGTAGCTGAAAGACTTATTTTCCAAACAGACTTATAGTGATTGTTACTGTAATAGCCTATTAATATCAAAGAAGTTTATTTGTACTGTCGGATGTTATTTAATAACTGTATTTTGTAAAAAATAAATTAATAAAATAACTTCATTTTTAAAATTTATTTTCATTAATTGATATTAATGAAAATAAACTTAAAAGGTTTTTAAAGGTTCTCGAGTGGCAGCCTCGTAGTGGTAGGCGTAATGGAGTGCGACCCCCCACTAGATGGAGTGACGACTTGGTAACACATGCAGGAAGTCGATGGATATAGGTGGCTCAGGACCGTGCTTTGTGGCATTACTTGGGGGAGGCCTATGTTCAGCAGTGGACTTGTAGGGGCTTTAATCATGATGATGATGATGAATGGATATTAAAAAATAATTAAAATGCACTATTGTTACGTAATACTATTATTTATTCTGTGCTACTGTGCCTTTAAATTGTCATCGATTATTACATAAACTTTACTTGGTTGTATTTACTCCTGAAAATCTCTTGCAATAGTGACTGACTGTCATATCTAATTCCAATATTTTCTCTTTAGCATTGTCCGGAGGCGGCACTTGTGTCAGCTCGAGTCATGGCAGCTGAAGGAGCACCAGCGACACGTTCAGCATCAGGCGTCGAACGTAGACCATCTGCTCCTCGTCCACCCTTAAACAAGAGGGGTTCCGGGTCCCTGTTGTCGCAGCCAGCGTCACAGTCGAGGTAAGTCTGGAGCCACGGTAGTTTTATTTTTATTATTCTTATGGGAGAGGCCAGCAGATTCACCAATGGATTGTTGGGGGCTGATAAAGATGATTAAGAAGAGAAGAGAATTAACAGAGAGGCTTGCCTGGAATTTGTTTGATGAAAGCCGATTTGATGGTTTGTGGTTTTTTACTAAGCGTCAATATGATCTACTTTTGCCTTCAAGCAGTAGCTGCGTTTTAATTTGAAAAGTGTGGATATTTCCATAAATCCAAAGTGCATGTAAAAAATTAGGAAGAGAGAATCATCATTATAATTATCAACAGTTAACGCCATATTTTTATCGTACCACCGTAATGTCTCTTCCAATCAATATATTATTTAAGAATGCATTGTTTATTTTCTGAGTAGCCATTATAAAATAAATAGAATACTATATGTATGTATTATAGTATTCTATGATAAAATACAGTAATAGGTCTTTACATATGAAATTGCCGTTCTGCAGTACTGGCCATTTCAAATCAAAACAATTTATGTTTGGCTAAGAATTCTAATTTCAAATTGAATTTATTTTAAAAACATAGAATTCTTTCTTTAAAATGAGTAATTTGTTTATTGATAACGCGTTATGTTTTCATCGCATTCGAATCTTTTTGTCATCATGGAATACGTTAAAAATTTGAGTAATTATGGAACATGAGTACCGTCGTGGCAGTAATGCGGCAGAAGTGGCACGTAACATCAATAGCGTTTACGGAGCGAGTACTACAAACGAAAGCACCACCTGTTATTAGTTTGCCTGCTTCCGTTCTGGAAATTTCGACCTGAAAAATGAACCACGTGGTCCTCCGAAAACTTTGGTTGACAATGACGAATCAAAGGTGATTGTGGAAGCTAATTGATATATCATAAGCTAATTGATATATAGATTGCGTATCAATCTATATATCATAAGCTAATTGATATATAGATTATCAATCTACGCCCAAATTAGCAGCATCTTTCAACGTTAGTATTGTAATTTCCCTTCAGAAAAATATTGACAAATGGGTGCCGGTAAAGTAAGTGGTGAGACGTGACTTGCACTGCTCAACAGGCACACAAAGGAATTTTGAACTGCATTGTTACCTGGTACGAAAAATGGATTATGTGTGACAACAGTAAGCGCTCAGCAAGTTGGTTGGATCCTGGTTCAGGACCTAAACAATACCCTACACGAAAACTTACCCCTAGAAAAGTGATGTTCACTGTTTTGTGGTCTAGCGCAGGTGTGATTCATCACAGCTTTTTAACAAATGGGACGAGCGTTACTGCAGATGTTAACTCTGAAGAACTGAATACAATGATGGAGGAGCTTGCACTTCTTCAACCAGCTTCGCTCAATTGTTCCTCCACGGTACTCTTACATAACAGAAAAACAGACGGTCTGCAAGTTACAAGAACTGGGGTTGGAAGCTCTTCGTCATCTACCGTACTCACCAGACCTTGCGCCTACAGACTTCTACTTTTTCCAGAATTTGGATAAGTATTTGGCGGAAAAAGAAATTAAAGAAGAATTTGTTGCCTTCCATTCAGCTGATTCCTTCAAGAAGGGCATCAATAAATTGCCACTCCGTTGTGAAAGATACATCAATTGCATGGGTGATTACTTTGGCTAGTGGAAATAAAAAAGTAAAAAAAAACGTCGTAAGAAATGTTAATTTCATAGGCAAAGAGCTAATATATTATTTTCATTTAAATATTAACTAGGGTATTTCATGAAAGTAAAATAATTATTTTTTATAGCTTCATGTATATTCATATCAGTGTGGTATCGGCGTAAAAATACATCACCTCATTCCGTGTCGTGAGTGTAGTAAGAGGACTATGGGAAAATGCCGGAAAAATTTTATGTTTTCTGACATATTACGGTCATCATTCTTTCTCCCAAACATAGGTCAAATGTCATTCTCATCAATCTGTCTGCCATACATGACGATTAAGCAAACCCTTACCCCGTACTGTCCAGAACCATCTGCATCCATCAAATTCCTGTACATCTCACCAGGTCGTCATTCCATCTAGTGAAGAGAGAGTATTATAAATTAAATAATGATTTAAAAGACACGAATGCGTGGATATAATGAGGTTCCTTAGATTACTTACTTTTTTTAATTTGTACGCTTATTTATCAATCAACTTAAAAAAAAACGAGGAACTGTTAATTCGTCGGAGTGTTTTTTCGTATGTTAAGCGATATTATTCACCACGTTGTCCCACTTCAATGATTCTTTTTTTGTTATGAAAAGAGGAACAGGTGGACTGTGTGCTCGTTTGTCTCCCTTATTCTATAACAATATATGTAAATTAGGTCAAGATTTAATGATGGGATCCATGAAGAAATCATCAAAGTCTTCAATTCGCCGAGGCACGACGTATGGATGAATAAATCTTTACCACGTTAATCGATTTCGATGACTATGTTATTATTAGTTCCTTGAAGTAGATTTTTACTTTTGAATGTTTCAAATCGAGGATATTTTAAGAATGAATTGTAACTGTTGGAAAATATAGTAAGTGAATTTCTCGCCGCTTCTTCTTTACTCGTTGAACTTGGATTTGTTAAAGCAAAGGCGTAGGAAGCTACCTAAAATGCTTCACTTTTCTAAAAGCACTTTCTAAAGCCTTCTTTATGAAGCTCTCTTGGAGGCTGCGACTACTGCGGTCTTTATATATATACGTATAAATAGAAGGTGATTTTGAGGAAATTCTTGCTCTACTGTGAGACGCGTGGAGTGTGGAGTGTGGAGGTGTGAGTACATGAATATTTCATAACCTTTTAAGCCTCAACTATTAGCTGTTTGCCGTGCTTTATGATATTTAACATTTATGATTTTAATAGGACATTATTTTTAATTTAATAATTCTGATTAACTTTGACAAATTTTAGATGTGAATTATTGATGGGTTGTAATATAGTATATAGTTTAACTTTGTTCTGTATGTATATTTTCTTTATTTTTTATAGGATAGAGTGACAAACGATCACACAGTCCACCTGGTGGTAAGTAGTTACTGCGGCCCATAGACATCTACATCTATCCTCGATTACGAATCAAAATGCAGATGCGTTGTCACCAGTGAGGACCTAGATGGAAAGCCTCGTTTCCAGTAAAATGGTTGCCTGCACTCCCTGTTACTCTGTGAGACTCACTGTTATTCTGTGAGAGCGTGATCCTTCCCCGGTCGAGCCGACCCATACGTGCTATGACTATACTACTAATATAACTGCAGCATGGCTCTAGCTATTAAAAAATTATCTATTAAATAACTCGTGCTAACTATCTACATATAAAATAATAAAGATATTAATAGTTACTTTGCAACCATCAGCTAAATTAAATAAAATGATGTGTCTTCCCTAGTTTGGCCCTCCTGCCCTCCCTCAATTGCGTGCACTAATCCCGTCACCACTAATCCCAGCTTCACTAGTCCCAGCGCCACGACTCCCAACACCTCTACTCCCAACACCACTACTCCCAACACCACTACTCCCAACACCACTACTCCCAACACCGCTATTCTAGAAAAGACACACCATCGACGATAATACGACACGTGTTTCGCCTCTACACGAGGCATCTTCAGGTGATGTTAACTCTACGGCGGCTGACCGCTAAGACTTCTTTGTTACTCTACGGCGGTTGACCGCTAAGTCTTGGTGAGGTGCTCTTCAAACTAGGTACTCTTTCAGAGTGGAGGCGGGCGCGGGTGCTAGCGCGGGCGCGTGTAAATCAAAATGTATGTAGACGCCAGTTGCATTCAGAGTGCTCCCGCGCGCCGCGCGTCGGCATGAGGCGGGCGCGGGCGCGGGCGGCGCGGGTGTTTCTAATGGCTCAGTCCGCTCGTATCGTTCACAGTAAACTAGCGTCTGTTAGGTGACTACGCTTGTGGTTCTAAACCATTTTGATTCACCCGCCGAAGCATCGTCAATCATCATGGATATCAATACGGAAGAATTTATATCTGCAGTACAACATCGCACTGCTATTTGGCAGGGCAAACATCTGTAACATTTAAATAGGGTGGCCATAAATAAATAAATTATGGGAAGAAATAAATTGGTGTCAATCTTGACTAAACATGGATCTCGGAGATCTTATTTAATATGTAGTCAAAAGTGTCTAATGACATTCTCGTGTATTCAAAAAAATTTATCGGGATACGTCCGTAAATCAGCGTATAATACATAAAATTCTCCAAACTCCTCTCTTCCTTTATTTAAATCGTGTGTGCCAAACTTCTATATTGCAATTTCCATTTCAAGTATGTATGTATTTCAAAAGCAAATCTTCATCTATGTCTTCTAAATACGTAGCAAAGTTTGAGAACGACCAAACACATTTGCAATGACACTCGTAGCTCGTTTGGCACTCTGAATATGCAGACGCCAAGACCCGAGCAAGGAACATACTACTCTCTAACGAGAGGACCCGAGCGCCCGCGCCCGCCCCCGCACCCGCTAGTGCAGTCTGATTGGGCGCTAGGGAAGACACATCATTTTATTTAATTTAGCGGATGTTTACAAAGTAACTATTAATATCTTTATTATAATGGATATCCGCAAAGTAACGCCTGATTCTATCAATTATATATAAAATAAGTAAAATAAAAGTATTTTGAATTAGATTTGGCGTTGACTTTGAGTAGTGAAAGTCAAAAGAAAAACGTACTTACAGTGCACCTAATAGTATTGCTAATACAGTTCCTGGACACCCGCAGGCAAATTCAAATAAAAAGACTACAGGTGCGTTGTCACCTCTGAGGACTAAGATGGAATGTCTCACAGCCTGAATTTGTGCTGGTTCTCTATACCTTTCAGATCGGAACACAGAAGTAGAAACATTGATATTTGTTGGTAGAAATAGGTAAGTGTGCGGTAGTGACCTTGATGGATTCCAGGGCAGAAAACGAATTCTACCTCCTAGTAATAAATTATGTCGTAGCCAATGAAAAAAACGCAACTTGTAGAAAAC